CTCTTTTACTATTCACCTTGAAAAGAAATAACAAATCTTTATAAATTGTACGAACAGAGTTTTTTTTTATTGACAAACTCTGTTCTTAAACAAACTTGGTTTTCTGTTTAAACAAACTTGGTTTGTTAAATAAAATGATCTTTTAAAATCAGTAGAACAGTTTTTAAAGAGTCAAATGTACTTTTAAAGATATGCAATTTAGTATTTTATCATTAATTAGCATTAATGATCATTAATTAGCGTTATTATGTTTTCTTTGTTATGGTTTATATATAAATATATATCTATAGTTGTGACTAAGCAATTCATTTAAATGTAGCATCTGTAGTTCTGTAATGTGCATCTCATTTAAATGTAGCATCCATAGCTTTGTGCCTAAGCAACTTATTTAGATGCAGCATTCATAGTTTTGTAACTAAATAACTCATTTAAATGCATGCATAGTTTTGTAACTAAACAACGTATTTGAAACACTCTACAGTGTAGCAACTGTGACACTTATTTAATTTTTGCAGGAAAAAAATTTGGAAAAAGGATATCAAACTTTCTGGTTTTATTCTACTTTGCAGGATTGTATATTTCTATTGTTGTTGTCATTATATTACACGTTTTCATTAAATGCAAATTTCTTTTTTTTTTAATGTCAAATAGGAGTGCCATGAAGGAGAAGTCATGACAGTGCGTTTTAGTCCTTCTGGAAAATACTTTGTAACAGGTGGTTCAGATCGAAAAGTTCAAATCTGGGAAATAGATGGAAGAGGTATATTTTTTGACAATAAATTTTTGTATATAATTATGCAAATAAATATATAACATTTATAAAATTTAGATAAAAATAAATAGATAAAATTTGTACATAGGCCTTGTTATAAGATTTTATTGTGTAATGCAAGTAAATGTAACTTTATAAAATATACATATGTCGTTAAAAGTTAAATTATCTCAATATCATATTTTAAAGTACTGCATTGTAATTAATTTTAATTTGAAACCACGTTAAAAATCATTAAAAGTGATATCTTTAAATATCTTTAAATTAAACAATACTTTTGTAAAAAAAATTATAAATGAAATTTATATGTTGTTCGAAAAAAAAAAATTTCCTTTTTTTAAAAAAGTTATACTTATTTAATTGTATTTTAGAGTAATTTAGTTAATCACTTGATAATTAAGTTTTATTACATTCATATTTTATTTATGTAATTAAGTATGTCTAATTAAGCTGACTTACTGAGTAATTCAGTTGCGAGTGAGTATAGTGAGTCAAAGATAAATGTTAAAAATTGCTTAAGGCTTTATCATTGAGCTTCACAAAAGAGTTAGGAATTTCACACCACATTTTTTATTGATGTTGCAAATATAGCCATAGCTAACATTCAATCACAGACCTCTTGATAAAGAGGCAAATGGTCAAATATTCCTGTTAGAAATACAATTTTTTTTTTTCAATGTGGATATATATTTTTCAATGTTTGTAAATAAATACAATTTTATCTCGATACTAAATCTATTTTTTATAAGAAATGTTTGCTGGATTGTTGTGACCAGCCTCTTCAGGTTAAAAGTTTTTTGTTTGTTTTTGTTTGTATGTTATTTTTAAAAATTGCAGTTCTATTTTATGTCAATGATTTATGGATGGTTTTGTCTTTTTCTGAAATAAGTGCGCTAGAAATGGTATCCGAAATTTTGTTGACATATTGTCCCGTATCTAAATTTTATTATTATTATTATTATTTTCATCATTTGACCCATTTTACAATGTTAATCATACATTCAAATAAATTTATACAATAACAAGCTGACTGCGGGAAGTAGAAGACAAAATGTCTTATCATCAAGCCCCTTCCTGAAAATAGAAAAAAATAAAATAAAATATTACAACTTCAAATAATATATAAAAGAGTGAAATTAAAAAAAGTATAAAAAAAAAACAAATTATAAAGTTTGAAAAATTTAAGTTTTTAAAAAAATTTTTTTAAGTTTGACAAAACTAAAAAGTTTAAAAATAATAAAAAATTTAAAATGTTTGAAAAAAACTATTTACAAATTGGTACATATGCGTATACATATTCAATAAACTTCATAATATATATTTAAATATACAAAAGATGTTTTAAGTTTCCGTTAAGATTCCGAACATTTTATAGATTTAAATTCATCATTCATATTTTTTTTAAAAACAAAATTAAAACAGACAAACAAATAGAAACAAGAAGAATATATATATAAATACATAAGAAGGAAGTGTATATATGTATATATATATATATATATATATATATATATATATATATATATATATATATATATATATATATATATATTATATTATATATTATATATATATATATATATATATATATATATATATATATATATATATATATATATATGTTATATATATATATATATATATATATATATATATATATATATATATATATATATATATATATATATATATATATATATATATATATATTACAGGCCTTGTTAAGAAGCGTTAGGCAGCTCGCATTTTGCCTGTGAAAAGGCGATTTGCCTACGCGTTCAGCAGTTATGCGTTACGCAAAAACTTATCTTTTAGAATATTTAAATTATCTTTTTATATCGTTTATGTGACGTTCATTCGGAAGTATTAAAGTCGTTAGTAAAAGCGTTTAACCGCAATTGTAAACTAATAGATTTTTTGTTAAAGAAACAATTTGCTTAATATTTTTTAAAAATTACTTAAAGAAAATAAAGTGTTTTAAGTTTAAACTTTTCATCATATTTAATTTTAAATATTAGATTTCATAAGTTTATAAACAATCAAATTTAAAAAAAGAAATATTTTCAATTTATTTTATTAAATTTAAATATTTTTTTAATAATTATAGTTTTTATTAAATAAATTTATTAAATTTAATTAAAATTTATTCATTTAATTTTAAAACAGAGCATTTTAAAATTTTTTAATTTTAAAATGCTCCGTTTTTTTTATGATAAAATTACCAAAGTAAAAAAAGATTTAATAAATTTAATTCAAGTTACTTTAAAATGTTCGTATTACATATAACTTTATTTTAATTTTAATTAAGTTTTAAGTAAGTTCCAAATACTGGTCTGAATAATGCGCTTAACAAAAGCACATTATTTTCCAGTTTTTATTTTTCCATTATTTTACAGTTTCATTCGTTATTTACAGAAGCGCATTATTCATTTTATAACTACAAGTTAATAAATGACGTCAATACTTTTAAACTCGAGTTATAAATGTTATGTTTGGGTTTTCCGTTTGCTGAAGAATTTTTTTTTATAAAACAAACCAAGGACGTATTAATATTAATACGTCCTTGAACAAACTAAAATTCAAACTTATTAAAAATAACGCTATCAGTAAAATAAACTCTTTAAAAGCCCAATTTATCTTTATTTTATTTTAAAAACAAAACTAGTACTTGAGCTATAAATATAAGATACATAAATTTCAAAATTATAATGTTTGTTAAAAACTAATTCTGGTTATAACATCTTAAAACCGAAAACACTATTTTTTTTTTGGATTGAGTAAAAAAATATTAGGTTTCACTGTACATAAAAATAAAATATTTTAATGGAAATAAAAAAAAAACAAAGCCGAAAAAGCAGTAAATTTCGTTTCTTTTCAACATTTATTTTATCAAAACCAGTTAGTACAAACGTTTTTTTTTTAAAGGGGAAAACCCAATCTATCTAAGTACATTTAAATCCCTTCAAGAAAATCAACTATAAACAAGTTTTAAATTTAAATTATTTAAAAAAAAAAATAAAAAAAAAACAACCATAAAACGAATGTTTAAAAGCAAAAAAATTAAGTTTAAATAAGTATAAGATTTTAATACAAGAAGACTTTTTTTTAATCCACATTGAAATTTTTTTTTTTATAACAACATTGTTCAATTTAAAGCTATTTCGTTTCAAAGACTAACAATAGTTTTTAATGTCATTTTAAATTTAATTACAATGAAGTAAAAACGCAACAATGTAAATATATTTATTAAGTAAAGTTACATTTATTCACGTTTCGCTTTTCCGTTACGCAGCGAAATCTCGTAACAAGGCCTGATATATATATATATATATATATATATATATATATATATATATATATATATATATATATATATACTATATATATATATATATATATATATATATATATATATATATATATATATATATATATATATATATATATATATATATATACATACACATACACACTGTATGTATTTATATATATACATACATTTTTTTTTTTTTTTAACATCTTCGCTTCCAACAAGGCTACAAGCAACTACTGATTAATATTGGAAGTTACTTGAAGAGAAAAGATGAAGATTGTAGAGCAAGATAACAATTGACATACGAATTAAAAGAGTGCAAATTATATGAATCAGGAAAGCAAGATAAAGGAAGTGAATTCCAAAGAACTGATGTTCAAGGAAAAAAACTAGACAAATAAGAGTTTTTGGAGCACTTAGGAACAGTAACAGAAAAAGGATGAGACTTAATTGAATGACGAGTAACATGAGATGCCACCTTAGATGTGAGAATATCTGGAAGATTGTTAATGTAAATTAAAAAGAGTATAGGGCCAAGGAATGAATCTTGAGGAAACCCTGAGGTTATAGAATCAAAAGAAGAGTGCTGTCCATCAAGGACAACTTATATACTATGATTGGAAAGAAAGAATTCAATAATCATAAAGATGTTTCCAGATACACCGTAAGAAGAAAGCTCATGGAAAAGACCAGCTTGCCAAACTTTATCAAACACTTTAGAAATGTCAAGAGCGATGACCTTAACCTCTCCACCTTTATCTAATGGGCGAAAAAACCTATAGGTTATTACTGCTAGCAAATCAGCCGTAGAACATGAAGATCGAAATCCATATCGATGATCAGAATAGAAAATATTCAAAATGAGAGATTAAGTGATTGTTAATTAAAGATTCAAAAACCTTGTTTATGATAGGACGAAGACTAATGGGACGGTAGTTAGACGAATCAGGTCGCTCTCCAGAATTTTTAAAAATAGGGAGAACAGATGCTGCTTTCCAGCAGGCTGAAAAACAAGACTCTGATAAGCATTTGTTGAATAGTTTTAAAAGGATACACGACAGCTCCGGAGAACACTTCTGCTAGGCTAGGTATGTTGTCCGGGCTGCAAGCTGAAGAAAAGTCTAAGCAGGAAATCACTTTAAATACAGAAGCTGGAGAGATATGGATGTTGAGCAATGGATCAAACTAGTGGAATCAAGAAATGATATTGATGAAAAGTTCTTAGCATTTAAAGTTCTCAAACAATTCAGCTTTGTCTTTAGGTAAGGTGACAAAGTCTGAACCATACATAAGAGGTGGAAACATATACGTATATATATATATATATATATATATATATATATATATATATATATATATATATATATATATATATATGTGTGTATATATGTGTATATATATATATATATATATATATATATGTGTGTATATATGTGTATATATATATATATATATATATATATATATATATATATATATATATATATATATATATATATATATATATATATATATATATACAAATATTTTTTTTAATTAAAAAAATGAAAGAATGTACTGTTTAGATTTAGTAAGCGTTTTTTTATAGCTCTTTTAAATATATCAATAGATTTTTTTTTCATATTTTCGTCAAGAACCAAGTTCCACAAGCGTGGTCCTCGACATGTAATTGAGAAGTCAGATTTTTTAAGTAATGTTAGTGGGATTTAGTAATTATTTATTGAGTGTCTTGATTTATATTTATGATTAATAAGAGAGAAGTTTTTATAAAAATAATTTGGAATTAATTTGTTTTGAAGTTTAAACATAAATAACAAATTATGGTAAATATTTAATTTGTATACATTTAGGACATTTATTTCCTTGAGTAATGGCTTGTCACATTTGTATCTATCCATGCCTGAAACTAATCGACTTGCTTGCTTTTGTTTTGTATAAATAGGTTTTCGGAAAGATGAGTGATTATTTGCCCAGGCAATATTACAATAGCTAATATGACTATGTATAAACAAAGAATATATATTTCTTAAACATATTTTATTCAATAGAGGTTTAGTCTTATACATTGTCCATAAAGTCTTTGAGACTTTGTTTTCGACTAGCTTTATTTTGCTTTTCCAATTTAAATATTCGTTGAAAAAACTCTTTTTATTTTAATTTTGTTAATATTTAGTTCTGGTTCTCAAATTTAGATGGTTTAACAAACAAAATATATTTTGTTTTTTTAATATTCAATGAAAGTTTATTTGCTATAAACCACTCATTGAGATATGTTAGTTCTGTGTTTACATAACAAAAAATATTTTTTAAATTTGATTCAGAAAAGAAAACATTAGTGTTGTCATCAAAAATAATATAATTAAGTATTTTTGATGACAAATAAATATCATCAATTTAATTTAAAAACGGCAAAGGTCCAAGTATTGATCTTTGTCGAACTCCACAACTTACTGACTTAAATGGGAAGCATGTAAAATCAAATGGTAATACTTGTTTATGATTTTCTAAATCGATACCATTCTGTTGAGGGGCACATTTGAGGTTATTATAAAAATTTAAAAAGTTAAAGAAATTGATCTCTTATAACGATTTTACTTTTTGCATATGTTCAACACATAACAATAATTTGTGTATTAATAAATATTATACTTTAAAATAAGTTTTTAAATTTTATTATAAAATTTAATATAAAAGATTTATTAATACTTTCAGTAAAGTAAATTAGCTGGTAAAGTAAACTAAAAATAACAATAACAAAAAAATCAACAAAAAATACTTGCAATGAAATGTATTATCTGTTATATTTGCGTAAAAATGTACATGTTTATTTAAAGTTTAGTTATGTAAGTTATTTTAAGCTTTTAGCGCCACCTCAAGGCGGTGAGGTATTGGTTTTTTGCAAGGTTTTTTAAACCTTAACTATATTCAAGGTTTAAAAAAGTGCACACCTCGCAGCGCTTGAGGCAGCGCTGTTTTAAACAGTGGGGTTGCCAATCATTTGGTCTATACGAAATAAAATACAAACCTGTAAAAATATTTTTTTTTACTGTGTTTTCCTTTGTAAAAGTCGAAATTCTGGCAATCCTACTTATAATGTATAGTGTTTTTATCAACAGTCGTTAATTAAAAAGTTGTTTTAGCAATTTAAAAAGTAACAAGAGGATTGTGGAAATCATCAAAAGTGTTTTGTTAAAAATTAAATACTATTTAGAATTTTTTTTTACTTTTTACATTTGTAATTTAAAAATGAGAATGAAAATAAAAAAATACAATATATGTAACTAATCGTTTCAATCTTTTAAAACTGTATTTAAAAGCAATGTACACAATTAAAACAGATCAAAGTTTCAATGAATAAATTCAATAATTCATTCATTAAAACTGCAAACGATTGTCTTTTGTTCTTGTTTTCTTTCTACTATATCAAACAAAGTAGCAATTTAGTAGAAAAAAAGAAAAAATATATATATTAATATATATATATATATATATATATATATATATATATATATATATATATATATATATATATATATATATATATATATATATATATATATATTGTTGTTTTATTGTACTAAATTATAATACAAAAGTCTCTTGTTTGTTTGAGAGTGATCAATATAATGTAAGTGTTTACAAAATAGATCAATAATAATAATAATAGAGTTTGATTATTTGAAAAATTACAACTTTGTGATGAGACTTGAAGTTTCATGCCCTTTCGGCAATCATCAGCCATATTTTATTCTTTTAAATCAAGAAAAACCGTTAAAAAATACAAAAATTAACAGAAAAAACAATAACAAAGCAATAGAATGAGTATGAATGAATAGAATTTTATTAAGGCAGTTGCAATGAGAATGAATGAATAGAATTTTAAGGCAGTTGCAATTGAAACCAATGGCAACTGCCTTAATAAAAGCACCTGCCCTCTATCAAACCAATGCTTAACAAAAAACATTGTATACCAATCTAAAATAAGTTCAACTAACCCTACTACCACTCCTGTCAACAAACTATACATCGGTATAAGCGAAACACCATTCAAAATTAGATATGCCAACCATATAAAATCATTTAACATTCTAAAATACAAAAATGACACTGAACTATCAAAAGAATTTTGGAAATTGAAAGATGCAAATTTAAATCCAGTTATTAAATGGAAAATAATTCTTACAACCCAACCACTAAGTCTTGCAAACTGTGTATAAATGAAAAATATCAAATTCTGTTTTTCTAAAAATAAAAATCTACTTAACAAAAAAAGTGAAATGATATCCAAGTGCAGGCATCGAAACAAGTTTCTTCTCGCCCATTTCGACACGGCTGATTAAACAATTTTCTAATTAAAAATTTGTTTTGACGTCAGAACTCATTCTATTGCTTTGTTATTGTTTTTTCTGTTAATTTTTGTATTTTGTATTTTTTAACGGTTTTTCTTGATTTAAAAGAATAAAATATGGCTGATGATTGCCGAAGGGCATGAAACTTCAAGTTCCATCACAAAGTTGTATTTTTTCAAATAATCAAACTCTATTATATATATATATATATATATATATATATATATATATATATATATATATATATATATATATATATATATATATATATATATATATATATATATATATATATATATATATATATACACGCAACCCTCGGAATTAGGGTTAACATTCTGCAATGCCAAATTAACTGCAAAAAAAAAATTACCGACCTTGTTTCATTGTTTTATGGTAAAACCTTTGTATTAATTTTTTTTTGCCAACCTCTAAAAATTGAGGTCCGCAAAGTATGAAATTTATTAATATTAAAAAAATATATGTATTAGGAATGTGATTTGAAAGTTCTTTTTAAAGGTGCATTTAAGGAGTTAGCAATTTTAACTGGTTGTCGACAATCTGTAACTTGTACAAGATTTGATCTTTTGGTGAGATAATTTTATTTACTTTATAACTAAATAAGATTATAAAAAAATTTGTTTACGTTTTAATCCTTTACATTAATCCTAATCCTAAGTAAGTTTAGACTAATTGTTTGCTCCTTTGCAGTGCAGTGCTTTACTTCTATTTTCTTTTTCTTTTTTCTATATTTTTTAATTTTTATTTTATCTTTTGTTTTATCTGTCTGTATATTAAAAAAGAATAAGTGATGGTGAGGCTCAAAAACTAAGAAAAAATGAAATTGGATTAAGCTAGTCTACTTCAGTATTTAAATAAAAAATATATTAGAAATAAAATTGACTTTATAAGCTGCTAGTTTCTAAAATTAGAGATATATTGATAATGAATAAAAATGTCTTTTATTACAGGGGGTTGCTTTATATTTTTCATGTAATTGTCAGAGTTTACTTTATTATTTGTACATACTTGTTAATTGCACTGTATATATTATATATAATAGCAAATAATAGTTATGGTATTAACAAATAATAATGGTAGATAATTATAATTATAGCTAACTAATTTGTTAAATAATTATGATTTATAAAAAAACTAAATATCACAATTAAAATATATTGTAATAAATTAAAATATATTATAATAAATTAAAAAATTTTATAGACCCGATTACGAATATATTAGTATTATTAAAAATAATTTTAAAATTATGGATTATTAGAAATAGTTTTATAAAATATATTTGTATTTATAAAAATATGTTTTTTGTTTTTAAACAAATGCTGAAAAAAAAAATTTCAACTGTGTTTTTCATAAAAATTTTTTTTTTTTTTGAAAAACTTGATTTTATGCTTAGGAAAGCTAAACAAAAGCAGTTTTAGTAAATATGGTAATCTGTTTGGCTTGTCAACTATTAAATTTTGAAGGCTGTATATTATCATTGTTTTATTTTTAAGTTTGAAAATCCTCTGGAGTAAATTTAAAAATGTATGCAATGTAATGCAAATGAATTTCATAGTGTATGTAACTACATGCAATGCAATACAAACAATTTTAAAATGTATTTAACTGCATGCAGTGCAACTCAAATGACTTTTGAAAAATAATTAATGCATTTCATTTAATGAGTTTTCTTTATTTTTTTGCTTTTGAATTCAGGAAAAATTGATCTTGGCTTCGTCAAATGATAATGCTTGTTGGATATGGAGTATAAATGATTTAAGATTACGAGTAAGTTACCATTTTTATCAGTATCCAGATAGATACTAAAATATACTATATATTATCAATTTCAATGTGCTATTAGTTTTTCTGAAATCTCTGTATAACACTATATATGTGTGTATATAAATATATATATATATATATATATATATATATATATATATATATATATATATATATATATATATATATATATATATATATGTATATATATATATATATGTATATATATATATACATATATATATATATATATATATATATATATATATATATATATATATATATATATATATATATATATATATATATATATATATATATATATATATATATATATATATATATATATATATATATATATATATATATATATATATATATATATATATATATATATATATATATATATATATATATATATATATATATATATATATATATATATATATATATATATATATATATATATATATATATATATATATTAGCTGATAATACACAAAAACCTGTCTATAAAATAAAATTGAAAAAAAAGTTAGTTTATATTAAAAAATGATTTATATGTTTCTTTGCAAACACCAATATACTATTCTTAGAATTTTTAAGTTTTACTGAACTAAATTTAACTAATGAATTTTAATTTTCACTGAACTGCAGTTACTTTTATTCTTTTTGGTTTAATGACTTTTTATAAAAGCTTTCAAATTTTAAGTCTAATTCATTTCATAATTTTCGTTGTATCATCCATATAATTATTATTAAATTTTTTCCTTATTAAGTTTCAGACATTTTTTTTCAGACCATTTGCAGCTTACTAGGACTAGTTACCTGAGCTCATTAATAACATAAGTATCTCGATCATGACACATACGCAACAAATTTTTTCTCCTGGTGCTTCGATGTTTTTAGCTTTTGTAAAAACCTTTTTGTTAGTAAAAGTGTATAATATCGTTACATGTTTGTATATAACCTATCTCATTAAAACTTCAAAAGTATTTTGTATTTTAAAATTATCGAAAGAAATTAAAAAAATAAAAGTCACCAGTGGTAGGACTTGAACCACAGCTTTTTTGTTTAGAAGCTCTGCATGCTATTCACGCTGGCACATTTCAGGGCTCAAATTAAGTGATCGCCGTAAATATCTGTGGTCATTAAATTCTTATTTTTTTTAAAAACCGTAAACACTGTTTTAATGAATCCGTAAAAACTGTTTTAATGAGTTTATCATATTGCAATTATTAATGAAAAAGAAAAACAATAAATTTACTACTGCAATAATAATAACAGTCAAAATTTTTATATTATTAGTTATTGTTTTTTTAAACAATAATTAATAATATGTAATTTAAGGATTATAAATAAAAAAAGTTGCAAGACAAAAATTATTATTACTAAAGGTACGAAAAACTTTTGCGGTAATTTAAAAATCAACCAATGAAAAACTATGCTTAAGCCATTTGCGCAATGTATGAAACTATGTATAAAAAAAAAAACAATTAAAAAGTATATTAAAGCTACTTGCACATTATATAAAACATTAAAATAGATTTTTATTTAGGGGGAAAGTTTATGGAATTATTTATTTAAAAATTTAAATGTTTCGAATTAGAATTTAATTATTTTAAGAAAAAAAATTTTTTAAATATGTTATTAGAGTTTCTTTTTGTTTTTTGTTTTAAAGTAACTATTAAAAAGTTTAAATTAGTTTTTATATATTAACTCCTCCGTCTTTTAATTTTATATTTGTATCAGCCTAAGCGTTAAATTTATAATAAAATATTGAATGAGATTTAAATAAGATATAAAAGTATTTTATATCTTATTTAACAATTTCTTTTATTTAAAATATTCGATCACTGTTAAAGTCCTTTAGATTGTTGTGATTAGTGCTTGTTTTTTAATATTTATATCGTACATTATCGTGCTTTATTTTTCTAGTTTTATCTGATGTTTAATAAAATAAATTGAAATATTAAAGTTTAAATATATATATATATATATATATATATATATATATATATATATATATATATATATATATATATATATATATATATATATATATATATATATATATATGTATATATATATATATATATATATATATTTATTTGTGTTGTTGTTATTTTTTTACCTAACAATTTTATTTAAAGGGATCCCCTACTGCCGAGACAAGTTGTGTTCATATTTAAGAAAATGATTAAAAAAAACATTTGGGCTGATTTTTTTTTTTTGAACTAAATAATAAACGCATACCAACAAAATTAAAGTTATCGTTTTAGTCGAAGCTCGCCTTCTTTATCTTTTTTTGGTTCTAGGAGTCTGTATAATGTTAACCGTAATCTGCAGACTTGATAATTTATTAAATGCATGTTTAATTCATAACAGCTTCAGTATATGATGTCATCAGCCTTTTTTTGTTATAGTATTTTTAAAGATATATTTTTTCTACTACAATGAGAAAATCAAATATTTGTATAATTTATTACTAAATCACAAAAAATATTTATGATTTAGTAAAAAATTATACAAATATATATATTTTTTTATATTTATAATTTTTTTTTTTACTTGCTTTATTTTTACTTTGTTTTAGAACCCAGCTAAAATCATGACACAATTTTACATATTTTGTAATTATTAGAGTTTGCAGGCAGAGAAAAAATAAAGGCAGTATGATGCTGTTTCTCGTTTTATATTTAGTTCATATGGTTTAATAGAGTTGTTCGATAAATGTTTAATTTACACATAGTTACTCTTTCACTACCGCAAGCCTCTGGTAGCGGCTTTCAAGTATGTTTTACAATTTATCTTGTTTTGTACATAAATTTCCATTCTAAACATATAATTTGTTTGTTCTAAAGATTTAATTAATTCTCTACATAATCAAGAAAAAATAAGAGCTATATTGTGTAATTATAAAAAAGTTATCACTTGACAAAGTTAAAAAATCATGTCAATCAATCCTTCATAAAAAAAATTCTTTAAATTTATGTTATATTTTATAACTAATTTATAAGTTATAAAATAAAACAGTTTTAACACTGTAAAATTTAACTTGTATAAATGTTAAGTATTTAGTTAAGTAATTACCAAAGTAATTACTTTTGAAGAGAAAATATACTTTTTGTTCATTAAATGAGTTTTGTTTGGGACTTATGTTTTAGTTACTATTTATAAAAACAATGGTTTTTAGCATTTTGCATTTCTTATTGTTTAATCATGCGTGTTAAAAACTTAATTAAAAAGTACATTTGTTTCGCTTTCTATTGATATATAGTTTGTTATGCTTTTAAAGAGATTTACTATTCGAATTTTAATTAATTGTCAATGTTATGTCATCAAATTGTATTCAAAAAAATGAGCGGTCACTACGAAAAGATTTTTGTTTGGCTGATAGTGAACGAGTTAATGCGATTCTTCGTTTTTATATTTATTTTATAACTTTTTTTTGTATATTTTAATACAAATATTTGTTTTAACTTTAATTTGTACAGTTATTAGTTAAATAAATTGTTTAATATTTATTTTCTACTTAGTTCAGTTTACATATTTTATTTAAGTCAATGGTTTTTTGTTAAGTTTATATAAATTTAGTTTAAACCAGTACGTTTTACTGCAAATATTAGTTATATATTAAATTTTTATTTTTATTTACTTTTTAATTATATCACATTTTATAAATTTATTTTTTAGTTATATCAACTTTTTTTTCGGGATTTAGTAAAAAGTTATACATTTAACATGATTTGGTGATTGTGGTAAAAAATAAATACTATATCTTGAAAGAAAAAATTTATATGATGACTTCATATACTGAAACTGTTATGAATTAAACACGCACTGAATAAATTATCAAGTCTGCAGATTGCAGCTAATATTATACAGACTCTAAGAAACAAAAATATGGAGACGGTGAGCTTCGACTATAATGTGAATTTTAAAATAAATGGTGTGCATTCATTATTTAGTTTCAATCAAAAAACTTTAGCCCAAATGTTTTTTTTAAACATTTTCTTTAATATGAAAACAACTTGTTTTGGCAGTTGGGGATCCCTTTAAGTCAGCAAATAAAACAAAATTGCTCATACCGTGTTTTTAAGATGTTTACATATATATATATATATATATATATATATATATATATATATATATATATATATATATATATATATATATATATATATATATATATATATATATATATATTATATCATTGTTTAATGATGTAAAAAAATTATCTACCCTAAGAATTAGAAACTTTTTAGCTTAATTTTATTGTTATTTTTATATTTAATATTACGCCAGAGATGTTGTCTATACTGATTCATAGTTATAAATATATATATATATATATATATATATATATATATATATATATATATATATATATATATATATATATATATATATATATATATATATATATATATATATATATATATATATATATATATATATATATATGTATATAATATTACATCAGAAATGTAATATATATATATATATCATAAGCGAGAGGTTCTGAGTTCGATCCCCACCATGTCCCTGGTAGTACCGCACTCAACTTGTTTCTCTGCACAGCGGCCTTGTTTGTCAAGGTTCTTGTTTCAGAGTTATAGAGTTAAGAGAGGGTTATAACCACTATTAAGTAGCCTCCTCGTCTGTAGTGGCCTTCTCGGCCTTAAAGAGGTGAATAACAAAATATATATATATATTTTTTTTTTTAATTTATTCACCTCCCCAAGGCCCTAGGGGGCAACTACAGACAAGGAGGCTACTCTTTTTTTTTTTTTTTAATTTTTTTTTTTTTTTTTTTTTTTTTTGTTAGTTGTGGTACAACCCTCTCACTAAGTCATAGATGAGAAAAATGTGCTCTCTAACTTATTTAAAATGGGTCACTCTGTTAGTTACATGGCTAGAGCTATTGGGTGCAGCTGAACTGTGATTAAAAACTACGTTAATAGTATGTATGGAATAAAAAAAGTCCCGGACGTCTACCAACATTAAGTGACCATTATAGGCGAAGGTTGTTGAGACAAGCTTTAAATTCTTCATTAGCTGCACATCAAATTGCTCAGAAGCAGGTGTGATTGCTAATTACGTACAGTTTAGCGAGTTATTCATAATACTTTTTACCTTTCGCACAAAAAACTTTTGGGAAAACCATCTTTAACAACAAATCACATAAACAATCAAATAACTTTTGCAAAGGGTCATATAACATGGAAGAGTGGCAACAAGTAGTATTTTCTGACTAAAAATGATTTTATCTTGATTGGCCGGAATTATTATTATAGATGGAATTATTATTTTCACAATTTGCATAAAGAACCAATAACACAGCAACAACGTTAAATGGGTGGTGTTCGTGTATTGGTTTGTTGTGCGATTGGGTATCATAGTAAATCAAAAACTCATTTTATTGACAGAAAAATGAAGACTAAGGATTATCTTTTAATTGTTTAAGAATTTTTAAGAAGTGAAACATCTGTTATAGGTGGTGAAAGTTTTATTTTTCAGCAAGATAATGCTAGCATTCAGCAGCTAAGATAGTAAAGGAATATTTCAACAGCAGTAAAATTGAAACATTGAACAGCTAGATCTCCAGACCTTAAGATTATTGAGAATGCTTGGACACAGCTGTCACATATAGTGTTTGAAGGTGGTAAACAATATAGTCCAGTAGCTGACTTGAAATGATCCATTGCATCTGCATGGGATGCAATTGACATTTCATACATAAAAAAGTTGTATGATTCTTTACCTTCTAGAGTGATTGAAGTGATTCAAAAGAATAGTACCCACAATTGATTGTTTAAAATTGAGACGTCTTTTTATAAAAATGACAATTTATATGAATTTTTTTCAAAAGTGACTTATAATTATGTCGCACTAAAATAACAGTTTTTTTTTTTATAAAATGGGAGTTAGGTTTAAAATAATTTTTTTTTTTAAATGTTGTTTATTCTTAAAAATTATATAAAAACTATAAAAAATTTTTTTTAAAATGTTGTTTAGTTTTAATAGTTATAAAACTATAAAAATTAGTTTTAATGTATAGTTGAGTTTTATAAATATTTTTGGGATATTTTATCATTATGTCGCACAGTATGTGCATATATATATATATATATATATATATATATATATATATATATATATATATAAAACTTATCTATATATAAAAGAGTTGAAGAGCAAGAAAGCAGTTGACAGATGACTTTCAAAACTTTAAATTGTATTGTCAGTAATTATCAGATAAAAGTGTTGATGAGAGAGAATTCAATGTTCAAGGAAGATTTTTAAGCAAAAAAATCAACCATTTTAGTATATTTAGAAGAAAAAAAATTGACAAAACTTTGTAAAAATTGGACAGAGGCTCTCGGTTGGCGGCAGGTTCAACAACATTTACATTGCAATTTTGTACCGTACCTTAAAGGTTTCATTAGAAGAACCAGCCGAAATGTGACAACAGTATTCCATACAAAAAAAATTTTTTTCATTATTGTTTTCTTTTCTTTGTCTGGCTCGTACTTTTTGTTGTTTTTTCTAAAAAAGGTTAAAATTGCATTTTTTTTACAGTTCATAATACAAGAAAATATGAAAACAGTTTGCCATTGAGGTAATTAGGAATAGTTGTTGTCATGATTCTTGTATCAAATTTTCATAAAATCTATGTTTTGACAATATATTTTAATCCACTCTAATGTTTCTTTAATTTGTTAAAGGAAAACAATGCGATAAATGAACACTATTTGTTAAACGAAGTTTTGCGATTAGTATTTATTTATCGCATTTGTTACACAAAATTTAAGGATTAGTATTATAATGATAGTATTAAAAAAAATTTGTTTTTTCTAAACTAATAGGATAATAAATCTACTAATATTAATATTAATAATATTAATAATAATATTAATGTAAATATTATAAATGTACTATTATTAATTTTTATATTAATGTACTAATTTACTACTAAATTTTTAATGTTATCTCCTGATTGTTATTCTTCCCAATTCAAAAGAAACTCATACTAACTCAAATGACATCATTCTCCAACATGGCTGGCATACCATGAGTTACACATAGCACAAGTTATTGTAAAAAAATAAAAATATCCAGGTTAAGAAGTTCTTCCTTACAAAACCTAACACCTTATTTCCAATATAACTTTTTAAATTGAAACTGTCAATTTTTTTTTACACATAAAGAATAAACATTCTACTAATGTGTATTTATTAGAGAATGTTTAAAAATTTATATTTTAAAAGTATTTATTTATAAAATTATAAATATTATAAAATATTTATAAAAGATATATAGTATTAACATTAGTTTCATGCTGTAAAAGACATTGTCAAAGATGTATGTTTAAACTGTGCAATATGCAACTTTGGAGTCAGTTTACTTTGGACTTGGCGGAAATCAAACTTAAGACTAATTACTCAATTATGCAACCCATTTAATGTTAATGAAAAAATCAGTGCATCTTTTACAGTAAAATGTTTAAAATAATAAATAATGTAAAACAAAATAAATATATTTAATAAATAAAGAGTTAAGTTTATTGAAATCAAAAAGAATAAAAAAGTTTTTAATGAAAACATTATTGAAATATAATATAGTGTAATAATAAAGGTTGTTTATCAAAACAGTTTACTTTTTTTTTAACTTTTTTGAGATTTTTATAAAATCTTATATTATAAGATCATTATATTATTATATTATAAGACCTTTTTAACTTAACAATTCAAATTTTTTTAAAAAAAGGTTAAACATGCAGCTAATGGTGTCTTTTTTATAAAGTTGTATATTTTAAATTACTTTATGTTGATTTTAATAATTATAATGATAAAAAAATTGGTATATCTGTGACATTGTCTAGAATGAGCATGTATAATTGTTGGTAGTTTCGGGTTTTTGCCCGAAAAAAAACTCGCTATAAATCATAAAATCTGTTTAAACAAAATTTCTTTTTTGATTTACTTTACTTTTTAAGGGAGTTATGATAATTAAATCCCAGTCCCATTTTTTGAATGTCATTCAATATGTGCATTTGTTTTCGTTTTTTAAATTTGTTTATATAAATTTTTTAATATTTTATAATGTTTGTATAAGTTTTTTAATGTTTTAATAGATATATGACTGTTATTTTTTTCGTATTTTTTATATCTTTACATTTTTGTATTTTTATACTTCTTTGTTAGTGTTAGTATAAATGCTTCTAATTCTGTTATATTTTTTTTCTTTTTTTTTTGACACTCTTGTATTTAAACAGGCACTAAAACAATCTTTGCAGGATCCAGTTGTAATGATCTTGTTACATCAGACATTGCAGGGTAGCATATTTTTGCTTAGATTTTTCTTTCATAGATATATTTGCAAAATATCCACATATTTTAGTCTGTGTCATATCTGTGTGTTATCTTGACTTGAATGATATTTTTTTAAAGCTAATATTTATTCTTTATAATAACAGTAATAAAAAATATTTGTTTAAATATTTGTTTTATACTAATGCTTTAATTTTAAATGTATTAAACATAACTAATCAATACATAATTATGAAGTATATATATATATATATATATATATATATATATATATATATATATATATATATATACAGGGGCAATTCTAGGAAAATAAGGAAATTTGGCGTAAACATTAACATATGTAGGCATTTTGTTTTTGAGAAAAAAGTAATATTTGCCGTAAAAACAAACAATGTCAGGGCGCGACAAATCAACGAACGTGCGAATGTTTGTTTTTTAAAAAAATTGAATGTCACTTTTTCTTACTTTTACTTAAGCTATTATTGGCATATGCTTAAAATTATTAAAAATGAACGCATAAGGGATTGTCCATATATTACTTATGCTTGGAGAGGAAGAGGGCGTCTGCAAATGACATATATGCGATGAGAGGGCAATGGGTTAAATATAAATGAAAAGAGAAACTAAATTGAAAAAGATATTATAAAATGTTAGATAAATTGGTTTAAAGCGTAGATTCTTTTAGGGAGGTGGTGGGTACTCAAAAAAGCCTATTGCAAAATAGGGGGGGGGGGGGGAATGTGGACAAAAAGTGTATGTACTTTATGGACGACCCTTAACTTCAGAAATTTTTTTTTCCAAATAATTATGCGATTGATAGTTTTTTTTTTATTATAAAAAAAACAATAAGTTACTAAAATTTAAAACACATATTCAATGATTTAAAAAAAAAGCATCCTAATTATTTTTTCAATAGCATTACTTTTAAGTTTAATAATTAAATATGCAACTGAAGAAAGTAATTATGTTTTAGCATGGTTTTTACATGCGTTTACAAAAGCATATGAAATTTTAGTTAAAATGATTGCATTTGGAGTTTCTTTAAAAGAAACCATGCTAAAACATAGCTTTCATCAAAACTTTTTTTAATTTTCTGATTATCGTTTAATTAAATTTAATCTTATTGGTGTTGTTAAACACACAGTAAAAAATGAAAATTATAATAAACATAACAGTTCTATATATTCTATTAAATTATATATATTTTAAAATAATATATAGAAATGTTATATTTATTATAGTTTTCATTTTTCCAATTTATTAACTCTTTAAGTTTTTATTAACTCGTCGTCTCTGTTTGTTTGATGGTTTTCTAATATCTTTAATTAAATAAATGTCTTAAAAACGGGAGGGGAGGCACTTCCCTCCCAAGTTTTTTTAAATTTCATTCAAATTCTTTTTTTGTTGCCCTATTGAATTGATTCCGGCTTTTAAACTTCTTAACCCTTTATGGGCCAGTGATGCCATACGGCTTCAGTGACTTTAGGAGTTCTTCTATAGCTTACTAAAGCCTGTAATAAGGAGAATGATTTTGTTTGTTATTCAACACCAAGGTGTACACACGCTAAAACTTTTCATAATGGTAGAACATACTTTGTAAGAAGTAAACACTTAGTTTATTACTGTAGTAGAGAAAAGATGTAAAAAACTCAAATATCTCATTTTTATTTTTTTCATTTTGTATTTAGATAACACATTTATAAAACACTTTACTAAATGATGTTCAAAATATAAATTACAAAGATTTATTTGAGGGTGTTTTAGTTAAAAAGTGATCATTATTTTGTGTATTATAAATTTTCAAAAGTAAATGATGCCACATGGCGTCATTGGCCAAAAGGAATTGTCTTTATGATATTTCCACCTTTGATTTGATCCAATAAGCTGCAGGCACAATCAGACCAAATCGTTTACATGGGTGCCCAGTAAATTACTGGGTTTACTATTACTGAGTAATACCATCAAAAGAACTCAAGAAACAAGATAGAGGTTCACTTGATTATCATATTGATAAAAATTCTGCACTAATTGTTGTGAAATGGTTAGACAACAATATTATACATTTAGTATCCAACTTTTTCGCTGGTGCAGCAAAACAAAAGGAAAAAAAAAACGTTGCCTGCCCATATATAGTGGCAGCATACAATAAATGCATGGGAGGTGTAGATCTAGCAGATATGCTAGTTGCCTTGTACTGCACAGAAGTAAAAACATGACGATGGTTCGTCAAAGTGTTCTGGCATTTTGTAGATGTGACCAAAGTGAATGCCTGGATCTTAAATAAATGGCATTATCAGCAATTAGGTCTTCCAATCAACAAACATCAAGCATTAGCAGAATTTACAGTAGCCATTTTAAATGCTCTTATCCAAGCGAATAAATTAAAAGCAATCCAGGGTAGGAGAAGACCAGCTAAACTTAGCAGTATCAAGCAAGTTCAACAAAGGAATAAAAAGAAACCAGTCATACCAATCCCTATTAATGATATTAGGTATGATCATATAGAAAACTGGCCAAAACCACAAAAAGATTAAAAAAGATGCAGGCTGTGTCAGAGTTATAGCAGAATGATGTGTGCAAAATGTAATGTTTTCCTTTGTTGTTAGCCAATCGCAACTGCTATGTAGACTTCCACAATTGAATAAAACTGTATTTACTGCTTACATACATTAGAATAAACATGTTTTTTGAACAAAAAGTTTTCTGCCTGTGCTGTTTATATATAGTTCAATAAAAATATTTTATAACTTTGTTTTCAGATGTTATCTTTATTGACCAATGATGCCATATGGCATCAAACCCAAATTTGACCAAAATTATTAAATTAAATTGTTAGTATAACAAAAATTAATATTTTTACATTAATTTGTCATAATTTGGCCTGTAAAGGGTTACATGGTATATGGTAAAGTTGACATTTTTTCTTTCTGCTTTTTAGATAAAACTGATGCTTCAATCACGGGGCAATAATAGTCATAATATGTTGATGCCAAACAATTGAAACTATACTTTCCTTTGTTTTTCCAATAGGCAACAACAATAAAACATGGTATAAAACTTGATTTCGGCACTGTTTTCCATATATGGACAAAAATACAATTTATTCAACATATATTGAGTGATTTTTTCCTTTAGCACAAAAATGTTTGTGGTCTTAAAAGAATAAAAGCTCACTTAATAACAGCTACAAATTATATCATTTTTATAGAAATAAAATCAAACTTACCTGCAAACTTTTGTATTTTGTTTTGCTGCTTTCACTCTTTGAATAAAATCATTGAAATTGTAATTGTGACATAGTTTAAGTTGCTAATCTATTAAATGATGAAATGAGTCACAACTCATAAATGTGTGACCATAACTCATAAATGTGATTTTGTTGGTTGTGATTTCATTGCCATTAATCATATATATCAGAAACATCACTCCAATTTTTGTTTTAAGTGTAATAATTTTCACACCAATGGTGATTTCAGATTTATCTTGATATTCTTGCAAAAAAAAAATGTAGATTTAGCTCCTCATTGTATCGCCCAGCATTTTGTTTATGCCAAACAATTGAAACTATACTTTTCTTCGTTTTTCCAATAGGCATAAATGATACATTATATGTTGTTAACCGCTGACAAAACATTGCTTCTTTAAAATTTCCCATTCTTGGTAGCATAATTTCTTTTTTCATGTCTGTCACCAATATTATTTCTTGTGCACAAACAGTTTGATCAGTTTCGTGTCTATATTACTGTTGTGCCCAACCCTTTTCATGTGAATATTCCTTGTCATGCAATATGTACAGTCTGGAGTTAATTTAGAATGATTTTTTTTTTCAACAATGTGTAAAGAACTGAAGGCATGTGTAACACTCTTGTTTGATAAAAATTCTGCAAAACATTTGGAGCTAATTACTCCAAATATTGTGCGGCATTTTGAATGCCGCTATCATTTATAAAAAAACCAGTCTACGTTTTTTCCAACAAAAAATACAACAAAAATGCTTATTTTTTTAAATCAATTTTTTTTTTCCTAATAATAATATATATTATATAAGTTATTTGAAAATAAAACTCCATTATATTTTATTAAAAAATTATTTGAATAAAAAAAAATAAAAATTGAAAGAATTGAAAATAAAACTGGCATATTCATGGCCGACGACATGGGTTTCGAAGTGGAGGCGCACAACCATCTCTTTCTAAAAACAAGTGTATATATAAATGTATATATATATGTACACATATATATACACTTTTTATACTAAACCAGTTATCAAAAAAATTTTTTTCAATAGAAAAATCCTATTAGAGTAGTCCTAGTAGAGTAGTATTAGAGTAGACAAAACATTAAGTACAAAGCAGATTATTATTTTTTTCAATTTTAAATAATTTTTTCACATGGTTATTTTGTGTTTAATAGTGTTTTGCATTTAGTACTACTATCATTAGTGGCCATTTTGATAAAAAAATTCGCTTCTGGGATATAAGGTATATTATATTTTATCACTAATGTTATAATTATATTTGTTATAGTAATGAGTTTTTTTTTTCTGTGTTTAATGGTTATTATTAGCATAATGTTTTATGAGAGTATATGCACAGTAATGTGCATATTCTTTGTGATTATGATGATAATTCTCCATTATTATGGTGATAATTCTTTTTAAGATGTGATCAAAACTCTAATGAGATTCAGCTTCAAGGCAAAGTTGCATCTTTAGACTTGTCCCAAGGTAATAATGTAATTTGTTGAAAAAAATTTTTAGCTTGTCATATATATACATAGAATACAATACATACATACATACATACATACATACATACATACATACATACATACATACATACATACATACATACATACATACATACATACATACACGCTTGCATAGATTAATACTGACATTATATAAATTACATTTATCATATTTTTACAATCTAGCTTCCCTTCATAATTTAACATTAAAAATATTAAAAATATATGGCATACATGCCATATACTTTTAACGTTAATGTACGTTCTACAGTTTGCAATGAACTTAATATTAATACATACAAGAGAAAAAACAGTTAGGTACTTGACATGCAAAAACTTTATCAAAAATGTTTTCTTGACATGACAGGATAATGATCCAAGGTAATGGTAAATCTAAGTGCATAAAAATTCATTTTTGGAGAAGTTCAAATATGACATGGCCATCACAAGTTTTAAATTAATACAAATTAAACCATGGAAACTTAATATATAATAAATTTAAATACATATAATAATTTAAATAAATTTTTTTTAACAATAATGTTTTTTTTTGTTGTCCTCTAAAATAAACAAGTTTTGCTTAATTTAGCGGACGAGAAAATGAATACTTTTTCCAGTAAATAATTACTTAGTTTTTTAATTATAATAATTATAAGAATCAATTCAAAAACAATTGTTAATTATGATGATTATGTTAAATAGAGAGTATGATTTATGGCAATTACGTTAAATAGAGAGTGATTAATGATTTCACAGATAATTAGAAACATTTTTTTTCACAAATAATAGTTAATTCTATACTACTACCTGTGTTGGCTCTTTAAGAGATTCTGAAGAATGATAATTAGTAGTTTTTCTTGTCAGTTTCAATAGAATTATACTAGCTTTACCCCGAAACCCCTACACTATGCTTACATTTATAGTTTGACATCTTTATATATATATATATATATATATATATATATATATATATATATATATATATATATATATATATATATATATATATATATATATATATATATATATATATATATATATATATATATATATATATATATATATATATATAATCTGTGCATATCTACTTTTATAACTATAACTTTACTCAGGAATAAGATTTTTTTATAATTCACATTTCTGTTAGAAGAAAAACAAATTTCTTATCAAATTATGTGAAAAAAATCTTCTTTTTGTAAAAACTTGATGAGAAAATTAATTGACAAAAATAATCTATAAAAAAACAGGATATTTAAAATTCTCATAAAAATCAAAATATTTATTTCCATTCAAAATTTAAATGATTAAAACATTGGACATTTTTCGAAGAATATTTGTATTATTTTTTCCTTTCTAATTTTGATTGATTCTAAAGTTATTACAGAAATACTAAATAAGGGATTTTCGCCACCTATTTATATTAAATAGAAATGCGCTTTGATTGGATAATTAATATTATTTCCCTTCCTCTTGTTTTGATAATTAATTTCTTAGTTCATGTTGATCTTATAATCAATTCAATTTATCAATCAATCAATTATTAGCAACAATGCCACGAAACTACAAGAGAAAATCTGTAAAAAATTATAGCGAAGAGCTAGTGGAAAAAGCCAATGCAAAAGTTAAAGCTGGAGAACTAAGTTGCAAGCCAGCTGCGGAATTATATTGTATAACTTAAAGGATACTAGGAGGAAAAATTCAATATCCAGAAAAGGTAGCTGGGGCTTGTACATTAACAAATTTTAGCTATGTCAAAATATTTCTTTATAAAAAAAAGGTGGAGGGGGGATGCATGCCCCAATACCTATTGGTATCGATGGATTTCTTTTATTTAGCTAATTGTAAATGTGTTTTAAAGATTTATAATGTAAAATAAAAAATTTATGTTGTAAAATAGGTGGCAAAACTTTCCCAAATTAGATTTTATTAGAGTAATTTCGCCACCCCATTTTTTCTGTTATTATTTTCTAATTATTTTAAAAAAAAATTAAAGTATGTAAAGTTTATAAAAATAGTATTAACAATAAATAAAAAATTTTACTTTCATTTTTAAATCTCAAGTAATTTAAACTGAAAGAATTAGTGGCGAAATTACCCCATCTTACTCTATGTTTTAAAAATATTGATATGTATATATATATGTGTGTGTGTTTGTTTGTATATGTTAAACTAAATATATATTTGCACTAATAAATAATATACATACATTAACTTGTTTAATAAATTGCACTAATAAATAATATACATACATTAACTCGTTTCTCCGCGCAGCGGCCTTGTTCGTCAAGGTTCGTGTTTCGGAGTTATAGAGTTGAGAGAGGGTTATAGCCACAAAATAAGTAGCCTCCTTGTCTGTAGTGGCCTTCTCGGCCTTGAGGAGGTGAAGTAAAATATAAAAAATATATAAAATAACTATATATACATATATTACATTCATATTTGTTGTTATCATTACATACATATATATGTATAAACTATATACAAAATATACTAAATGTTTATTTACACAAGTAAACAATATAAACTGTAAATACGTATAATACATTCACTTGTGTCTGATTTAAGTAATTGAATTTTTTCTATCATTAAAATGTTTGGTCACAATACAAGCAACAATTTTATAAAAATATAGATATGAGTTATCTTTTAACTTGCACGCGAGATGACTCACTAAAACTGATTGATTTAAGAAGAAATCAAATTGTATCAACATACCGGTACCAGAAAAATATTTTATTAAAGTTGCGTTTGATTACACTCGTGCTTGTTTTAGGTAACAATGTATACATACATACATATATATATAAATATATATATATATATAAATATATATATATATAAATATATATATATATATATATATATATATATATATATACATATATATATATATATATATATATATATATATATATATATATATATATATATATATATATATATATATATATATATATACATATATATATATATATATATATATATATACATATATATATATATATATATATATATATGTATATATATATATATATATATAATATACTATTTGTATATATATATATATATATATATATATATATATATATATATATATACATATATATATATATATATATATGTATATATATATATATATATATATGTATATATATATATATATATATATGTATATATATATATATATATATATATATATATATATATATATATATATATATATATATATATATATATATATATATATCAGGGGCTATTCTAGACTGTTTTGACAGGATTGATCGTATGTGATGCCAACCAAATTAAAATTTGAGGATCTTTTTTTTTTAATGTTTTTTACAGCAAATATTATTTTTTTTTATGAATAAACGCTGATTTTTCGCTATATCGCTTTGCGACGGAGGGGTACCATCACCCAATTTTTTTCCTATAATTGTAGTAATATATAATAATAATATATACATCGCCCTGTGTGTATATATATATATATTTTATGTTATATTATAAGTTACTTTTGAAAAGTACAAAAAAATTTGAGATTTTAACTAGTTTTAAATTTAGTTTCAAGGCAAGTTTGCATGATTTCAATACTTTTAAAAAATACACATACAGTATGATTTGGTTGCTATTTTGAAAAATTTAATCTTTATTTGCTTTAATGGTTGTTGGAAAGAATGTGCATATTAGACAGCATGACACTTTGTGTGTTTTATTTTGTACATATGATCAGGCTTGGTCGGGAAGCGGGAGCGATCGCTCTCGATTGCTGTCAACGTAAATAATATTTAGTTGCGAAAAGCTTGCCAGATTTTTTAGTCGTTTTGAGAACATTTTAAAAAGCAAAAAAAAAAAAGCGACTAAGATTAATTGGACCGATGAGAGACAAAAAAAAAAAAAAGGAGGCAAATAAAGTATCTTTAAACGCAAAAAAACTGTAAGCTAAATAAATTACATTTAGAACAAATATTTACGAAACATCGCTTTTTTATAAATTTTTTTTATAAAATTAAGCAATTTTTTTAAATATAAAGTAACAACTTACGATTGTTTAAAAGGGAAACAAATATTCTTTATTTAACTAAGTTTGCAAGTTTTAGTTTTACTTAAGCTTAATTTATTTTATAAATAAAAAAGTTAATTTTTTTAATACCTATTTTATGTTTCGCGTAGTTTGAAAAGTTTAACATATTTGAAGCGATTCTTCTTAGTAAGATAAACAAATGAAATAATTAAATCATTGAATTACTATAGGAATTAAATTATCAAGATAGAAATCAACTAAAAAGTTTAAAAATACGTAATGACCAGGAAGCGAAACTGCTTCACAATATCGCTGATGATGTTTAATGAGTTGGTTTTTAATTTTAATTAGTATTTAAAGTAGAAAAAAGTATAACGAGTTTTAAGAATGGCAACTTAAGCAAAAATAATTAGGGTTAGTAAACCAATATCTAGAAACTCTTCTTTATATCTAATTATTTGCTATTATATATTTGTGTTCTGTCATGACCTAAGGCGCGATGCTCGTTCATCCGCGAGTTACTTTGTATGAGTTACTTCTTATGTTTGTTACATAATTAGTTTTATTAACTTTTACGATTGTAAATTCATTGAAAATGCAATTATTTTTGTAAGTCTTTGTTTAAATCATAAAAATTGCTTTAAAAGATACATTACGATAAAAAACAAATACACAAAATTACGTTTACATAAAGAATACAATCTCTTTTAAAATAAAAAATAAGAATATACTAATAAAATCTATAATTTATAATAAACTTTTAAAATTTTAACAATTTAATTAATATGTATTTAAAACATTTATTTTCGTAAACAAATAATATATATTCTTAAAACAATACTAGAAATCTCAAAACGTAACAAATCGTGAATAATACAATTTCTAAAACATTTTAACAGAATACTCTAGAACTTTATTTCGCTTAATCAGCGAACCAATAGAATTAGTTTGTTTGT